TAATATCAGACATGTCGATCATAGGCAAAAAATTAATCTATTCAGGGTCAGACCATATGCTTTCACGTTGCACAGTGACGATCAATGTCGAAAATGAAAAGCACGAGCGGATTAGAAGGGCTGAAGGATCACCACTTTGTGCAGCGATTCTTTCCGGAGGCATTCGCGGAGAAGCTGCCATTCATGAATCTTGAAATGAACATCGGCGAGGGCGTAGATGCGAAATTGACTATTTTGTCAGTGACAGCAAGACTACGGTTGCAAAATCAAGTCGGATAGCAAAGCCCACTAGCAACCAACGCATTAGCCCTTCGACAAGGATTCTGATGGTTGGAATAGCCCAACTGAAGACTAAAGGAAAAGCGGACAATGCATGTGCTGTATTATGGAAAGCTATACGGAAGAAGTTGAAAATAGACTACTATTGTTGCAGGAAAATGCGATTAAGAGACGCAACGGAGGGCAAGAAAAGCCAGCAGGCTGTGCACCAGGATATTTGCATAAAATAACTGATTTCGAGTTCGCTCAAAGACGATTTCGGCTGTGCAGAAACTACTAATTGCAATCGGATGAACCAGATCTGCATATAGGGTTACCAATATCAAGTGACGCTCTTTTGATTTGATCGACTACATCAAGGATTTCGATTCAACTGAACTGACAGCTGTGTTAAACGCCTTGCATGAATATGGAAACCCTGCTTATATCAGCCCGATCGAGAAATTGAACACTGATTGCACGACTGACATCAAGTTTATTAGCAAATTCTGTGGCATGGGTATCCATCGAACAGTTTGCTTAGGGTCTATCATCTCACAAGCCCTCCTTGCTGCGGTTTTACAGTCACTGTTAATCAGCTCAGCTGGTGCAAAGGAATCAATTTTGTCTGAGAGCAGCTAGCGCGTTTGTGATATGTGGACGACTTCCTCGTCATCGCACACTGCGATTAGTTGCAAAAGCGATCCAACACAAGAGAAAGAATCTGACCATCAGTTTGGAAGTTAGCTTGTCCAAGATGAAATAGATGCGAAATGGGCAGTACTCCGAGGAATGTGTCTACTTCAGTGGCGAAAGAAATCTCCAACAAGTAATTAGCTGCATATGCCTCGGCCTTAGAAGAACAGCTGAAGAAGAAAGGCGGCATGGGCCAGTTTTAATCAATTTACACAACGTTGCTCCAGAGTGAGCTGCTCATGCTTGCGAAGAAAGAACTGCTCGATTCGACAGTCCTAGCCTCCATGATCTGTGGTGCTGAATATTGGTTTGCTGCTAAAGCTAAGGAGAACAAATTGATTGTCACGAAAAGAACGATGGAGCGAAAAATGTGCAGGGTGTTACTTCGAGATCACGTCGCAGTCACGCATATTCGATGATTGAATGATTGACTGGGTTCACAGAAATGATTTCTGCGTTCTACGACGCTAATATGTACCGACCGTGTGGCTCTCTTGAGAGATAGCCGGTGAATGTCAAGAATCATAAACAGGGTGCTGCTGAATCACTAGCGCTACCGTCTAGTCGAAGACCGTCCAAGAAATCGCTGGAATGATAGAATGGTCAAATTACTGGCCAGCCATAGAGATAGAAGGCATAGAATGGAGAGTGCTGAAGGAGCGTCGGCTTGCGTTCTTGGTGCACCCGTAAGAGAACAAGTGAAATAACGGAAAATCGATTTTTTATATGCAGCACTTCATTAAATGTTATCCGTTATTCAATGCATAAATTTGTTCTTCAACTTTTATTTTATAGGCAGCTGTCTTACGCCGAAGAAAAGTCTGGCTTTATCTCCTGACATCATCAGAAAGGATAAATTTTATGGCCATAAAATAGCGCCTGGGTTGTCAAATCGGAATGTCGATCAAGTCTTTTCGTTAGGGGAACCGAAACAAAATTTTTTCGGAAAGCGTGGCGATATTGGTTCTTGTTCATCAGAGCCCCCGAGATTGGAGTTGAAGATTAATAATGCAAGCCAATCAGGTATGCGATTCTATAACTGAAATGTGCATCGTTAGGATCTGTCCTCAGCGTAACTTTTATCATTATTTTCTTTAGCCGCCTAGCAGTGGTGAACATATTAGTCTTCAGCATGTCATTCTTCATCTCAGTTAATTGAAGCGAATCCGCGAAAGCAAAAATGTCGGAAGTAGGGAGCGCAGTTCTGTTTTAACAAGTTACAGAATAAAGCACCGTATTTTTTAACGCAGCCAAACACGAATTGATCAGGAGGATTGGCACTTTTGTTTGCATTTCACTGCTCTCCTTTGTAACTTATGTGCTTTGCTGATAGTTTGTTTAGTTCTCTAATTGTTTGTAACTATATGCTGATGCTACAGGTCTGCGGTTCATTATAAATTTTTTAATCTTATTGATTTAGTCTGAAGTCTTCTCAGAAAACATTTGCTAAACAGATCGTGCAATACTACGTTCTCAGTGTGTCTACCAGCATACTAGCAAATATAATTTAGAAAATGCAAAATTATGTGGAAAACTAAAACAATAAATAACTTACGAATTCCAAGAAATCCTGATCAAATGGTTTTTTACCGCTATCCGACATTAGTCTCTATCCCTTCGCCTTTCGGAACCGGTATCTATTTGCGTTAGCGGCGCGAGGCAATCTCGAAAATTTCATGACTGTTGCACACTTTACAAATTCACAAAATCTTACTAATCCCTCAACATATTCCTCATTTTACAACGCGATTTCTAGTTCTTAGTTTAAGGAACTAGAATGGTCAACGCCCTTAGTTTTTGTTTCGGTTCTGTAACACGTCTTTGAAGGGAAAACAGAAACTTCAGCTCGTTTGGTTTTGCACAACTTTGACCCTGAAAATACGTTTGCATTTCTGTCCTGTAATTAATCTGAATACTTTCTGACGCGTATATGGAGGCATATCTATATATCAGGAAAGTGAATTAGATTTTCTAGATGAATTTTTTGAGAATATTATAGGATGCTCTGCGGCTAAAGGTCTTCTGCGAAACTCGCCAACTACTCACTTAGTATGTCGTGATGTTGAACTGGCAGAAATAAGAAACTTCATTGAGAGTCACATAAACGCTCATAAATCTGGATGTATGTACATTTCTGGTCCTCCCGGAACGGGGAAAACCGCATGTCTGTTAGAAGCGCTAAAGCAATCACGGAAGGTTTGTAAGTTTTCTTATTACGTTTTGCTATTAAACTGTGTTCTTAGGATAATAACCAGTTTCAGTCGGTTTTTGTAAACTGTATGAATATTCGATCGTCATCTGACATTTACCGTTGTTTATGGGAGAAGATCGACACGAAATCCAAACCCGGTGCAAAATTAAACGCTGTGACTTTCTGCAACAGGCTTGCTGCTCGCCATTCTATGATGTATGCATATCGAGCTTTGCTCAAAGTCGCTCTAAACAGTTACTAATATAGTGTTATTTGTTTGGACGAAGTTGATCAGCTGTGCGATCGTCAGTCTGCCGTACTTTATGCAGCCTTTCGTTGGCCTGAAACCGCCAACGTTATTCTCATAGGTAATACCACATTGGCTACATTCTGTTGCCTGTGTAACTTGTATTGAAAATATTGCCCAAAGCTGCAGAAAGATTTATTTTTCATGGAAAGGTTTTCTTATTGCAAAGTGATATTAACCATCGTTATAACAGTATCAGTGAATGTCAGTTAATAGGCGTGTCGATGAACCATTCTCAGTCCCGCGCAGAGCGCGATTCTCTAGTTATTGATATGACTAGCCTAACTGTTGCTAAAGAAGAAAAATTTACTTTTATATTTGTATGCATTGTTTCAGCTAAATTTACACAGCTGTTTAAACGAAAGAGACTAATCACTAATAGCAAACAGGGTATGAACCGCAGGTTACCTAAATAAATGAAAAAACATGCAGAATTCAACATTTCTTTCACAGCCTACTTTGCCATTAGCATTGTAGGTCTGCAACTTGACAAGCTATTGTGAATGGTTTCGGTCTTCCGCTAATAAGGCCAGTCTCGCGACCTGCAAGATAAGACGGACAGTGCCAGATTTTCAGGCTCAAACTAAATAGTTCTCGCTACGCACTTTGGTGACTTTCCACGTGGTTTTCCAAGAAAGTCCGC